TAGAAGTAGCAGCAGTTGCCGTGGCCGCCTTGGTCTTCTTCGGCCAAGATGAAGCCGCTGTGGGGTGGAATGAAGAATTTGGGGCGAGGCGTGGCTAGGGAGGCGATGGGTAAAGACATTGGTTACTTTACGACAAGTGGTGGACTATATCACATGTTTCCTTGTCCAAAACGATTTTCTTCTTTTCCTTTTCTGGCACGTACGTACATGCATGGGCGCCGGGTCTGCATCATATACGCGGCCTATGTCCGCAGCAGAGTCCATCCAAAACCCTAAAACCCTCACCCCCACACCGTCGCCACCGACCGGCCGAATCGATCACGCCGTACGTACACCATGCCGACCTCCGCGCACGTCGCCGGCGACGGCCTCCCCTCCGTATCCGCTTCCTCCATCGTCGCTAGCGCCGTGTGCGGCTACCACTTGGTCAAGATCGTCAGCTACTCGCGCACCAAGGAGGTCCCCAATGGCAAGTCGATCCACTCTAGCCCGTTCCAGCTGGGAGGCCGCACATGGCATGTTCGTTACTATCCCAACGGGAACAAGACGGAAGACATCGATTACATATCCGTCTTTCTCGAATTCGATGATACCGTCGTCCCGGAGGCCGGGGCCGTGGAGGCGCAAGCCAAGTTCAGCCTACTCGACCAACATGGGAATCCTGTGCCGTCCTATACCCAGCGGACCATCAGGAACAACTACGCTGTGAATAAAACCTGGGGGTATGATAAGTTCATCAAAAGGGAGGAATTGGAGAAATCAGAGCATCTCAAGGACGACTCCTTCACTATCAAGGTCGACGTCGCTGTCCCTGGCTTGTTCCACGGGCTGGAGACTCCATCCATCGTGGTACCGCCGTCTGACTTGCACCGGCACTTAGGGGATCTCCTGTCAAGCAAGGCAGGCGCCGATGTCGAGTTCCTAGTCGGCGGTGAGACTTTCTTCGCGCACCGGTACGTGCTCGCAGCGCGCTTTCCTGTTTTCAAAGCAGAGTTCTTTGGTTCCATGGAAGAGAGCACCACCAAAAATGCCATACGCATAGATGACATGGAGGCACAAGTGTTCAGTGCTCTGCTCACTTTCATGTACACGGACGCGTTGCCGGATATGAAGCAAGAAGAAAATATGCCATGGCTCAGCATTTGCTTGTTGCAGCGGACAGGTATGATTTGGCGAGGCTGAAGGTGATTTGTGAAGATAAACTGAGCAATCATATCGATAGGGGCTCCGTGGCAGCCATGGTGACATTGGCGGAGCGACACCACTGCCATGGGCTTAAGAAAGCATGTTTGGTATTCCTCAGCTCGTCAGCGAATCTGAATGCACTCATAGAGTCTGAAGGCCTTGAGTTTTTAACCAAGCACTGCCCCGGTCTTCTGAAGGATCTCCTCTTGTCCAAGGTTGTAGCTTTTTGACTCGGGAGAAGAAAATCAAGGGCATGGACATGACGAGGTATAGATGCATGCATTCAAGACAGGTGCAATTCTATCCAGAATGTTACTCAGAACTCTGGAATCTGGATACAAAATCTAATACTATTTGTCACAAGGATGCGATCTACCTCAGTCTTTTTTTCTGTTTTTTGTTTGGGCACTGTGTCTTTTATGGAAAATTATAAACAGCATGACTCTGTCCAGAATGTTACTGGAACTATTAATTAACCAAGACAAGGTGTTTTAATTAGATGGAAGTTTTAGTTCAGGCATCCTCTGTCACTCTTTAGCAGGTTCGGATAGACTATGGTTTTGCTGAAATAGCCGGTTGTGGTTTTGGGAATTACTGTTTTCGGCTTCATATAGCTCAGTTCAAGTTTTTACCCAAATGTTATTACACAGGGTTTCTGTTTGCTAAAAGATACTTGTATGTTCTGTATATCTGAATTACAAATTAGGGTTCCAGAATTGAACTGATTTTTTTTTTAGTCTAGAATTGAACGGGAGTAAACGCGACTACAAAATTCTGGTATGACCAAAAATTTGGCAAGCTATTGGTGTTTGGATTGTGACCATTACAACTTCCTGGCATGTTGTTGTTTGGCTTATGACCATGATAGCCCCAAAATTTCAGATACTGGTTCTGGAAGTATTTAAATGCGTATGTTATATAAAATTAAGAAAACACAAAAATTGATACTAAGAGAGAGCGTGAAGAAAAAAGTCGCTAATCTACACTACTATTAAACAATCAAACAAGAATTTTTTTACGTGCATCAAGCAAATTGGCCCACAACACCGCGCAAACCGATCAGCACCACACGATTAGTCTCACAGATCTAAATCTAACAGTTACCATTAATTTAATGCCTTTGCGGTGTGGACTTAGCAAATTCTCATGACTGGCCGTGCTTCACTCCATGATCCATCCACCAACGGAGAAATACCAGCCCCCGTCCATCTCCTATAATCACACGGTTATCATCGGAAACGGAGGAAACTGAAATCGGCTCACATCGCCCTTAACCTCAACGCCGCCCACCAACACCGTATCATGCCTGCACGCCGACCTCGCGGCACTGCACCTTAAGGTCGCGCCATCACCATCGCCATCGCGGATTGTTGCCACGCGAGCAGCGTTGAGTCCGTTTTTGTGTCATGGGCCGCCGCCGCCCGCCGCTCCTCCTCTGATGGACACAAGCAGGTCGTCGCCGCCCGCCGCTCCTTCTCTGATGGACACAAGCAGGCCGTCGTCGCCCGCCGCTCCTTCTCTGATGGACACAAGTAGGCCGCCGCCGCAGGCCGCCGCCGCAGGCCGCTCCTCCTCTAACTCCTCTGTCATCGCTCGCGTGGCCGCCAACCTGATCCGTGAGCTAGAGAATCCAGTAAGTTTCCTCTCTACGCCGTTCACATTCATGCCCGTACAGGTGCGGATGGAGCTTCACGCCATGGCCTAGCCCTAGACAACGCAAAGGTACTAATCGAACCAGATAGCCCGTATTTTTGGCCGCGGGTCCGTCACGATCCTCGCGTTATGTCCATTGGCCACACCTCCGCACGACCGATCTGCACCCAGGAAGCTGCAGCCTGTATGTAATTAAATTAGTTAACTGATTACAGGGTTGTATAACAGTTTTGGTCACATAAATGTAGGTACTCGGGCGCCCTGTGTAGACGCAAGAAAAAACAAAGGTCGGGCCTGATTCAGTCTTCGTCTGTTGGATTCAATCCAGAGTTGCTTTTTTAAATCTACAAATAGGGTTATTTGGAATTGGAAACACATAACGTGATTACTCTATGGTTGTTTCTACTCTGACTTGTTTGCCTGCTTCAGTGACTACATGATTCGTTGCTCGGTGGAGACCATCTTGCGGTTGAGTGCAGCTAGCATAGCGTTTTCATCCATGGGGCCTGCGGCCTGTGGGGAGCTCCTCGCAAGATGTGGCGACAACTCAAATAAATTGAGCTGGTTCATGTGGTCGCAGTGAAGAAATAATACATATGTTTTGGATGAGGTTACTCTGCACTTGTTTGATGGAATGTCAAGCACAGGTGATGGCTTCTTTGTGGTTTTTGCTTTGAGCTTCATTTCTACAAATTGCAGAAAAAAAGAGTTTTATTGTTGCGATGAGGAGTCCATTGACGACGACGAGTACTTCCTGCTGCAGGATTACGCTGCTGCACCACCGCGGAGAAGCCGCCGGCCAAGAAGGGCGGAAAGTCTGTCGCACATGACGAAGACTATGAGCCCACCCCACCGCCGCCGCACCTCTGTTGCTCCCGTGGTGCCCAACTATTCTTACAGCCGCTGCCTTCACGGCCTGCCTCTGCTGCTCCAGCTGGCACCCGGTCGCACCCGCCCTCGCCGGAGACGCGTGAGACACCTGCCGCCGCCACAGGCACATGAGCCTCGGCCGTCGGAGATGCGCCGGAGACATGCAGCCTCCACGGACGCATGAGTCGTCACCTAATCCCCGAGTCCCAAATGGTAATGATACTCTCTCCTTTCCGGATGGACCATGGATTAGAGGCATTTTTGCCCCCTCTTTGAATTGAGTACAACCATGTATCTATATTTTTACGGTTGCCCTAAAACTTAGTCGACTGAGTTTTTATGAAGTCTTAGTCGAATCTCTTTACCGTTAGATTTCTGTGTTCCTTTATGATGTGTGCATCTCTGTTGACTTGTAAACGAGCCCATGTAGGGGACGAACTGGGTGGGCTGCGTTTTTGTCCTGTTTTTTGTGTGTGTCAGGGCAAGCTTTGGACGGTGGGCTGGAAAAGACAATTTTTTACTTTGTTTGTTGGGCTTTATTCTGCCCAAGTCAGATTTTATTTTCTTATTCTTTCCTATAAGCAAAAACGGATCTTCACTACTATTAAACAATCGAACAAGAATTTTCTTAGGTGCACCCCGTAATTAGACCCAAGACATCGCACCAACCAATCAGCACCACACGATTAGGCCATAAATTTTAATCTAAAAGTCATCATTGATCTAATAAGTCTATTGTGTGGAGTTAGCAATTTTCAATGACCGACCATACTCCACTAGCGGACAAATATTCCAACTACTGGTCCGGCGTCCCCTACAATCACGCGATTCTGATCGCTACCAGTTCCCGAAATCAATCTCTTCTTCCCAAGTTCTCCACGCCTCCCCAGCTGCCTCCCGAGTTCGGATCACCTCCATCGTCGTCCGCCGACGTGCCTCGCCTGCAGCGCCGTCCGCCATGTGTCTCCTTCCACCCCAATCGGAGGCAGCAGAGGCGGAGAGGCACGTCGCGCCGCCACATCCGGAGAGGGAGGGGCAGGCGAACGGACATCACGTTGGATGTGCTTCGCAGGTGAGTAGCAGCCAGTTTGATTTGTTGCATAAATTTCTCTCTAAAGCTTCTTAATCTGGGTTCTTTCTTCACTGTCGGTGAGGGTGTCGCCTAGGGGCGGCGGGGGCAGGGGGTCGCCGGTGGGCGACCTATGGGATATGGCAGCGGACGCGAGAAGGGGTGAGGGGCCCGGGAGCCACAACGGGAGCCACGAGAGCGAGTTGGACTTGGCCATGCTCGTCAGCGACTGCCTCAAGGGTAACGGCGGCGAGGACCCGGGCTCCCCGACCTCGGCCACTTCGCAGACAAGATCAAGGTATGTTCCCCCGTCAGCTCTGTTCATTTGAATTGTATGTTTGCGACCATGGCTTGCCCCAAATTTTGTTCGTCAGGTTGGTTAGCTGGCTGGCTGCTACCGTATGAAACTGCCCACTTAGCGCTTCCCAACCTCTGATAATTACAGGTTGTAGGAACATTTCTGGAATCACATGTATATCGATCACTTCCAAATGAATTTGTTGTTAGTACTACATTTTTTTGTAGCAGTTGCTCCCAAGTGAAGTGTCGTTAGTATTCCTAATGTTTCTAGCGTCTTCTGCTCTGAATTTACTCCTTAAAACCACCGCCCAAGATAACATCGACATCAATTTTGATATGTCTGACATGTTTGATCTTATTTGACTGCAGGAGTGTAGTGCAAAACAAAAGTCTACTGACATTGCTGGCTTGCAGCTGTAACTGGTTGTCTCTCAAGTTTTGATTGCACAGTAGTACAATTTAGTTTCTATGAGGTTTTGATTGCACAATGGTCCAATTTAGTCTCATCTACCATGATTCATTCTAGAGACCATTTTTCAGGCTTTTAGCCTTATTGCTGAGGCATGAAATACATCAGCGTGGGCACGATTTGTTCCCCTCCTGTAATCTAATCACGAGCTAGCTAATTTGTAATCTAATCAACCGTGCCATGTGCGTGCGCCCTTATCAATCCTGGTTCAGAGAATGCACTGGGCTATCTGTTTTGCTCATTAACTTTTACCCAAAGTAATAACTGGATAACTTAACTTAGTGTGTTGTTGTATACTGAAGCTAACATCCTGCATATCTGCATGTTACATTTTAGATGTACAAGAAAGCAGGAGTTGAGAAAGAAAACAAGCTGCTCTCCATTGTTCACTCCCTCTTCTCGATCCACGAGACATGGCTCCAGGTTTTTGTAAGAGGCCAATGTACTGGCAGCTGTAGTCGCCATCTACTCATGAAGCTCCTTAGTTACTCAAGATACGACACGGCGGTCTGTGTGCCCAAATGGTAGGGCTTCGAGAAGATACCTGGAGGTAACCCACCAGACCAAGGCTTAGCTACTTATGTTGTTCGATTTTCTCTAGAAATTGTGCTGTGTGGCTGAGTTATTTATTGTTTTGCCAACCAGGTGAACATGAGTACATTGAATATTAGTGGACTTGGATCATCTTATGGTCTGCCTATACATGTAACTTGATCATGGTAAGCTAGATGTACCAGCACTGATCACTTCCTTGACACTCATCCTACACATCTCCTTGTGAAATAATTGTTGGTGATGTCCCTTGTTCATATTACGTTCCTTGTAGAAATTTTTGTTGCAAACTGAACAAGGATAGATGACAACAGGACAGGAACCAAAATATATTGATACCTAGCTTTGTTTTTGTTGAGTGACATGTTTGAATAGCAGCTTAATTGGAAAAATTTAACACAGTTGCATGTGCAGTGCTTTTTAACCGACCATATTCTACTGAACGTCTGACTCCCCCTTAAGATTTAGGTTGGAAATATACTGGAGTAATAGTGGAAGCCACTTTTTGCTTTGGTGATTTTGTGAAGTTCAGATTTTGGTTTATCACTATTCAGACTAATCTTTGTAACAATTTCTTGAGATCTGCCTACAGTACATGAATTTAGCATCAGTTTACATACTATATACACACATGACAAGTTTTTTGTGGGGGAAATTTAATCCAGCAAAAGCATTGTCATTGCTATTCCCTACAAGTTACTTGAAGAAGAAGAAAAATGCCCTTTAGACATTTTTAAGAAGCAAAACAAATCTTTCTTTCTATAATTGCAGAAATCCATGGAATCCTTGTGGTATTTATTTCTCCAGGTATGGCAAAAGTCATGGAGTCTTTACTATTTGTGCATGTAAGTGCACACCCAAGTGCATCGATATCAGTAGGCTTTCTGTAGTATAACTGATTTAACATTCTGCGAAATTCATTTCTTGGTCTTTGCATGACCACCTCTGCATCATACACAAAGTGCTCAGAAGAATACATCATGCAGTGACTCCTATAAGGAAGGAATGGAACGAGTATTGATGTTTCACTTTTATCTGTGTTTGTACTTTGCTTTGTCCTAGGAAATCTGGCTAAGGATCATCACTTTTACAGCACACATGACACATCATAATGAAACTATTCTCCTTTCTTCTATTGAAGTCCATGCATATCATGACATGCATTGGAGGACTCAAATTTCATTTTTGTTATTGTTTACATTACTTCCTAATTAAGTCCGCTAAACATTTGTAAAACAGAAGCTCTCTGCAAGAATTATATTTTCCGCCGAATGTGCTATTGTACAGAACATTTTACTTGACATGTGAGCAAAATATAATGTACATTATGCCGATTAACTTTCTTCCGAACTGTTGTATCACCACAAGGGAGATTGTGGTAGTGTAGTACCGAGGAATTAATCCTCAAATTCTTCGGACTTCTGGGAGTGGTGTACTGCATTCTATGGACTTCTGGGAATTAAGCCCCAAATTCTTTGGAGTTCCTCGCTAGAATATTCTATGGTTGCAACAGTATTTCTATTGGGATGCAGTTACAATTATCTCAAGGCTAATGGCATGCTAGATTTTTTGAGTTCTGGGAGTGTTGTACATATGCAGATTCTTATAAAGGTGCATGTAATCAACTTCTGGCTTCCTTTTATATCTGCATCTATTGTCCATATTACTCATATAAAACTTTGATGGTCAGTTTATTTCCACACAAATGAAATTCCATAATTTAATAATCTGATCCTCTATTATAATGCTATCAACTGTTATTTTTCATCAAACCATATGTTATGCTTAAGCTGTCTGTTGCTTTTGTTGATTACCAGCTTACATAGATTAGTGCAATATATTCTTATAAGGTTAAGTGCCCTCCTTAGATCTACGGGCTTTAGTAATAGGTGTCACCACCAGTTTGAGTTCTCATATATACGATCTACGACAATTTCAAAAGATGAGTAATTACTTCAGATCATACTACTTTCCATTACAGCTTTCTCTATGTATACTTGGAGAGCAGTGTGTGTTTTAACTACAATATGCATACCCCCATTGCACCATAGTTCCACTCCAGGAGATGCTGAGATAAACTGAAAATGGAGGAAAAATTGTCCGACTCTTACCGCTAGCAGGTGGTACCCGCTATGACTCCCATGGGTGGGATTACCTTCACCGCCGAGCCTTCAAACTCAGAAGATAACAAGCAGCCCAAAATCCAAGAAGGAAGCTAATTCAGTTCTTCCAAGATTGCTATTTTTAGGGTGGTTTTTGTTCCAACTTTGCATTGACGACACCATGTTCATTTGGACAATGTTTATATGTTCCTTTGAAGTTCACCCAAGAAAATAAAATTTCTGAAATCTTCATCGGATATTTAATTTGATTCCATTTTTACTATACAATAGACTAAATAGGCCACACCCATATATTCTCTATGTAGAAGTTGTTCATCCAATTGATTCCCATTGATTTGTAACTTTTTTTTGTACAATTATGATTTCTTTGTGGTCTGCTTGAACCTCAGTGGCATTCTCAAAAGATAATTGATGGGTTTGTACTTTGTCCTTTTGTTTATAGAGAAGGGGCCATTTCCAGAGTATGAATTCAAAATTGTATACCCACATGAATTTTGATGTGGTTTGATTGAGACGTGCGTTGCACGTGCATGTTTACTAGTACAATTACAAGAGAGAGATGTGCTGCAGTTCAGCACTTGGAAGTCGCTAATTCTGTGCAGCGTTGCATGCAGATTTCTTTTACTTGATGCTAATTAATCACGCAAAGGCCACCGCCAAAATATTCGCCAAATCCTACTGCATGCATGCAGGGCCCACCAATCAACAACCAAAGTCACCACGCCAATTTTTTGGCGAAGCATTCCGGCGCCTGCGTCTCGCCCATGCGTTGGCGCAAATAGCACGGAGGAGAGCCGGGCCAGTTGGGCGAGCCAATTTTTTGGCGTCGATCCAAACAGCAGCCAAAATACGTGGGTTAGCCAACTTTTTGGTCGGGCGTGCATTGGCATGAATCCAAACAGGCCCTAAGCCAGAAGGCCCGTTAACGGAATAGGCCAACCAATAATGCCAGTAGCTGCTCATATACAAGGATTCGATTTTACAAGTCCAAACGACATGTTTCTCAAAAGAAAATGTCCAACCGATATTATTCACTAATCCATAATTATATTGTGCTAGAAAAATTAATCCACAATTATAGCTAAAAGAAAAATTAATCCGTAAATAAGCCCCAAAAAACTTATATATATATATATATATATATATATATATATATATATATATATATATATATATATATATATATATATATATATAT